TCAGACCCCAGGACCCCCAGACAAGGACTCAGACCTAGCTAGACCCAGACACAGACACAGACCCCCCAAGGGCATCTTCTCCATCTTCACCTGCCTGCACACCTGCACTTGCACCCGCACCCATACCCTCAACCTCGACACAAATTCAACACCACTCAACACCACACACCGCACCACCACCATCAGCCTCCACTGAGACCTGATCCGCCTACACCCTCCCTCCCCCCCGTCCCAACCGATCACGGAACACGCCGGCTTCCTCGCTCATCTGTCTCTCCAGCCGATTAACGCCTGTGTCGTCTCTCGTCTTCCGCTTCAATCTACTTTCTCTTTTCCTCTCTCTTTCGCACCTACTCCTTTCCACCCTTTCAGACACCCAGCCGACGTACAACGCGGCCAGAGCTCGGGCATCCGACATCTCAGCCTCACCGGACGTAGACGTTTTGCCGCTCGAGTTGGACAACGCACCTCTTTTTCAACCATTGAACGATCTCTGATTCCCATATAACGTATCCTACACTGCGCCTCAGTTCGACGAAAGAGCACCACGACCACCCCACCATATCCCCAGATTCCGGCAATCTACCGCGCGTCATCTATTCACAAGATCATCTTCCGTCATCTTCACGTGCCGCAAACTTGACAATCTGCAACGCCTCACACCGGCGCATCCTCTTGAACACAGCAACGCACATTCGAACCTCGAATAACAATCGTTGCACCTACCTCTGCCATGCACATCAGGAAACCAAGTTCCTAGAATGCGACAAACCTGGGCATTTTGAACCACCCAGTTTCCCTCGAATATATTTTCAACATCCACCACAACCCTTTTCGTTCGAGACGCATCCATGCTCGCTGTACAACGTCCCACAATGGGTTCGTCGCAGCCCTCGGATTCGAATATGGTCTTTGGCTGTAGGCACCCGCCCCTCACACCATTTGCTTACGAGCAACAACCATACTGATAGTATACTGCTCTAGATGCCATTGACGAGTCGCAAGGCTTTTTTCTCGACCCTCCACCCGAACCCGCCCCTGGCGCGCCCATCCTTTCCGACAATGACTCGAAAATCATATCCTCTTTCTTCGACGACATGACTGCCGACCACTACAACGTCCCTTCCTTCGGCGAGGGTCTCAATTACAGCGACGCCTGGCTATCTCTGCCGCCCCAGTTCATGGGCACTGCGACCTCGCTGGGCCAGGCGCCATTCGGTGCGCCGCTGCACTCTCCAGGCCATGAACTGCACCACCAAGACTTTTCCGACCTCATGCCGTTAGGCTCCGCGATGATGCCGCCACCGCCGCCGCCCCCTCAACAGCACATGATGTCGCATCCCCGCCCCTCGGTCGAGCAACAGCCATCACCCGATGTCCTGGCGGCCGCCACGTTGTTGCAAAACGGTTCATCCTCACGACACCACTATCATAACACCGGCGGCTCCATGTTCTCGCCGCCACATAGAGGTGTCCCCTCGCCACTTGGCCAGCAGCTGGGCCACCATCTGCGACATCAGCCGCTCGAGGAGTTCAAGCGCGCCGAACGCACCAACGGCTTCGCAGAGAGTAGCATGGAGGAACAGCATTTGGGCATGTTTACCGACCTCGTATTTGGCCCTTCACCTGCCGCTCCCAGCCGGCCGGCCCCGCCACCTCCTAGGCAGAACCATGTGCCGATGGAAATGCAATGGGGATCGGACGCGCGCTTCAGCAGCCGTCCCCACAGCTTTATCCCGGACTCGGCGGGCGAGACGTACGATGCACTATCAAAGAATCAGTTGCGGCACATGGAGTGCCTCGAGCCCAGCCGCAGCGCATCGAACACTCGTCCCTCGTCTCCGCTGTTTAATGGTGAATCATCGGGGGCATACATGAAAAAAGCGACAGAGTCAGCAAGCACCCGTT